GTCAGGTAGTAAATATTTTAGACTGTGTGGGCCATATATAGTTTACTTTTTTAACATAATTCTTCAAAAGAAGGTAAAATTCATTCATCCAACACCTGGCATTTTATAATACCATAAGCACCTGGTTTTTTTTTTTTTAATGGTCAGTGTATACTTTCACGTGGCGTGCATACTGAGCATCCTGTTAAATGGGATGGTCCCAGTTAGGTGAGAAAGCTTCTGTCTCTGCTCATCAGGCCAGCATACTGCACAACTGCCCCTTTGAGGGATGAAGCAAAGAATGTTTCCTTAGCACTGACCATAAACCACTGAGGCTCTGGGAAAAGGAAGCTCAGAAAGAGAAGAGATAATGTTAGGAACTGACCAGAGCTTTGGTTTAATTCCAAGGGCAAAAGTGTGAGCAAAATACCCTCCACAAAGTACTCCAGGAGGATCCTGGGGCCCCAGGACTGCACAGCACACCAAAGCCCTGAACTTGGAGAAGCCTCAGAGAGCTCTAGGTTTCTGCCTGAGTAGGATTCTCTCTAAAGGAAAGAGGTCAGACCCTCAAGTCTTCTGATCCATTAATTGTAGAATACAGGACTCTGTTCTTATGTTTTAAGGGATGAATTATATTGAAGGCTGTCTCAGAAGGCTTCCCATAATTCTGCTTGTTTTAAATATAATAATCCTTTTATTTTTACTTTTTCCCTGAAAAGGATTTTGGAGCAAGCATGGAGAAGAGTACTTACTACCAGGATATGAAGACTACCTTGCCAACGTGATATACATAGACATAATTTCATACTTAAAAAAAATTTCCAGTATTTCAGCAGATATCAAGCTACAATACGACATAAAAGTGACAGCTAAGAACCCAAAATGGTAATTGTTTCAAAATAACTGAAACAATCATTACTTTGGGGCCACTGACAAAAATATTTTCACTGACATGACACTCAACTTCATTTTGAAAAACAGCATAGAAACTTATCCTTGAGTTTTTGGGGGAGGAGAAAGACTAACACCCTGCAAGTTGACTGGATTTGACCTAAAGATATAATCCATAACTTCTCATCACACTCAGGTTATAATATGTTCCAATTTTTAAAAAAAATCATTATCTTCTAAAGCACTTGAAAAGCCTCTATTTTTAATTTGCTAGCTTATCTTTAAAAAAATTATTTTGAAAGTTTGTTACTGAACAGGTATCAATGCCAATATTTTTATTTTCCTAAAAGCTGACCAAAAATATTACATAAGAATAAACAATGCTTTGGATTTGTAATTACTGTTTCTACTCTGTGAAGACTTTTTTCAGATCTAAGTGTGACTTCCAGAGGACTGCAGTAGTCTTACCTAATGTAAGAGAAACAAAATCTTGGCTAACTTTAGTAATAAAGAAGTGAAGCCAGAGTCAGTTCTGTGACTAAAAACTATGTGAGTGACATGGAGGAGCTGGCCACATAACTTTTAGAACTCAGAACACCTATGTGCTCACAGGTCCTGGCTCTATGTGATAAGGGGGCCTCATTTTGGCTGCTGTAATGGGTGATTTTAAGGAATATGGAATGCTAAGGTAGCTCAAGTTTAAGGGGATGATAGTTCATGTACTATCTCAGTACAACATATCTTCTTTGTAGCAAGAAGAAATAAATGTAAAAGAGAGAACAAAATTGAGATAAGGAGGAAGGGGAAGGAAAAAGGAAGACAGGAAAAGAGGCAGAAGAAAGGAGAAGAAAAATCAGGGAAGATTTGTTCCTGAAAAAGGATTATTTTCTCAAGCAGAGAAAGCAAACTTTTTTTAAGGTCCACACAGTAAACATTTTAGGCGTTGTGGGCCATACGGTCTCTGTTGTAACTACTCAACTCTGCCTTTGCAATGCAAAAGCAGCCATAGACAATATGTAAGCAAATGGGCGTGGCTATGTTCCAATAAAATTTTATTTATAAAAACAAGCAACCAGCCCACAGTTTGCAGACCCTCGATACAGATCATCTGTAAGCCAAAACACAGCCTACACTGGCTGACCTAAAACCAGGAGTAGGTGTAGCTTTCTGGGCTACTGGCCAGCACCTTGGGATATTCCAGCCCAGTCCCAGGTGTTGTGACAAGACAGCAGACTTGCTGATGGTAACACTACAGCATCTCCAGCTCACATCACATAGCATTTTGTCCTTTCCTATTTGGCTCTTAGGTCTACTAATTAATAGGAATGCTGCCCATAAATGAGAGTGACAGCTTCTGCCCTCATGACAGAATCTATCACGAGGCAGAAAAAAGGCCAAACCTCAGTTCAAAGTAACCGTCTTGACGTGATGCCTTTTACTGATGACCCCTCTGAACAGTGAGAAATTCACCTGCGCAGTTTGTGATGGATAAAGGATCCCAGTAGAAAGCACCACATGTGTAAAGGGATGACTATGTGCACCTCTTCTATCTGTACTGTTATAGGAACAGTGAGGCATGAAACTTACAGCCTGATTATGGTTTTATACAAGGCTGTGTAGAAGTCTTTAATAAGGAACCCAAGTGGCTAGCAACTGCTGACTAACAGACATGAATAACATTCCTATTTAGGAAGCCTCAGGAGAACAAAGGTCCCTGGCCTTCCTGCTGCACTGCATGATGGCTGCATGTCTGAGTAAGTGCTAGGGATGAGGCTCTGGACCCTAACAGAGGGGGCAGTCTCCGTGTTGTCTTCCCACACTCTGGGGGAGCTATGGTAGACCTTCACTGATTGCTTCCCAGGCATCTTCCAGCTCTTCCAGAAACTCAGAGGGAGTACCAGTGTCCTCTGGTCATGAACTTCAGCTCTAACATTAGAATAGTCACTTCACTGAGCGTAGTGAGCAGAATTCCTTTCAGATCTGCAATCTGCAATGTGGGATAGATTGCCTTTGCATCTGATGGCAAGTCATACTTGAAAATGGTTGTAGGAAGAAAGGTCTTTGCAAGGGAGGGCAAACAAGGGGAGACTTGGATCAGTACCAAGCCTGAGCTTGGAGGTGTCTGGGAGACAGCTTTGTCAGCATCTGCTGTAGGTGTAAAAGGGCCTTTTCAGAATTGGCCCTCAAGTTGTTTTTGTTTTCTTTTTTCTATTAGCAAAATTAGCTAAACCAGCAAAAATGAGATTCAATAAACATTTTGTGTTCTAATTATGTAGAATCCCAGTATATTTAAATGTAGTCACTACTATAAAGTGTAAGCTGATTTTAAAGATGATCTATTGCATTTTTAGGTATATAAAATAAATACATACACATTGATACCTTTTCTCAAATGTAGCCTAGAATGGGAGGTAAGGCTATTATCTTGAAGTGAGCCTTTAAAAATAAAAAAGAACTTAGAAAAATAATGGAATGAATTATAAACTTGGAACTGGAAAAGTTCCACCCACTTACCACCTCTCCCTAACCTAATCCAAGCACCTATAAGGTAGTCTATTATGCAGCCAAAGAGGCACCTCTTATGTACAGGAATCAGCACACCTGACATTGGCAAACATCAGCTGTTAAGTCACCACAAAAACAATATCCAGTGACAACTATATGAAGAGTTTTTTTTAAATCTTAAAATCATTTTTTTAATATTAAATGAACCTACTCAAAACATATTAATGCTTCTGTGCAACTTAATGCTGAGAAAGGGTTGCCAACAAACACACTCAGCAGTTTCATTAATATAGGTAGCTCTTAAATGATCAAAGTCAAAGAAAGATATTAAAAAGAAGACTCACAGGATGGAGGAGACATTAAAGAAAAATCAGGGCTTCACTGAAGACAATAAGCTTCACTATCTGTCAAACTCAACACAATTCTCAATTTCTCACAAATCAAATGCTTTTTTCCAGTCCTATCCAATCATCAGAAGTTTTCATTATATACAACAAACTTTTAACAGAATGGGCAGAAGGCCTGTTTTCACAATTTGCATGAAAAAAGTCCACCTGGGTTTATCTAAAGAGATCTGAAACAAGCTAAACAGAAAATTTTTTAATAAAAAGGATGGGCAGCAACTGTCCATACAAGCCTATTTTGGTAACAGAACATGTTAAAGAAGCTGGCTGGGGCTTTAACAACCCAGCCTTTTTTGTAGAGCAGCCCAATAGAAATGTCAAGTACACACTGTTATAATGGAGCAACATCATAGGCACTGAGTTAAAGCCAACGCGCCCATCTCAGGCTTCACCTGGGAAAGGCAAACGACATCATTTACCAATACCGCAGTTCTCACTTCTGAGCCATGGAAGAGAGCCTGATATGACACAGGCAGAATTTAACTACTAGGATGGCTCTAATCAATCTGAATGTATACCCACTCCAAACAAGTACATTCACAAGGGAACACACCAGCTGAACATCAGCTCTGGGTGTAGGGGAAATGGGGGTCCACTATGAAATGTCGGAGCTGCTTCCTTCAACTGCAAGGTTGTTCTGACCTTTACATAACTCTGTGCTGTTTAGACCTTTCTGAGTCTGGTGCCAAAGTGGTATTGGAGATGCTCATAGAGACACTGGACTACTTTCAAACCACCTGGCCTGTGCCAGCTCACGGACATCCTGGCACACTGAATGGGGAAGAAAAAGTTTTACTGTAAAACCGATAACCACATGCAAAGGTATCCAAATGCACATGCATAGACACACTCAAACTTTTCTTTACTGGAAATAACATATTGGCTTTCTTTGAATATAGAAGTACTGTGGGTAAGAAAGAAAACAAGAACAGTCACTCTCATCCTAATCATAAAATTACAGTTACAAGATGAAAAAAAAAAAAAAGTCTAGGGTTTTTCTCCCCAAAGTAGGATAAAAACCTTGTTAAGAGTGCTAGCAAGCTTGCAAGGCCAAAAATGAAGAGGATGGTAAGAACTAGTAATACAGTTTGGGGGTGCAAGTAATTTTCAGAGGTCATAAACCAAAACTGACACTTGTGAAACCATTTGTCCTATGGGCACATAATTTAGAGTTGGTCATTCTCAAATGACCAAAGATCAAAGGTGGCCAACACAACATAATTTTTTAAAATGGGAGTAACAGAAATATTAATCTTTTATAATAATTATAAGTCCTCTGCATTCACCACATACCGTAAAAATGATTTGGTTTAGCTTTCAAATATCATTTAAACAAACAAACATGACAGAGAGGGAAGTTCACTGCTGGGGTTTGCAAAGAGGGGCATCTGTCCATGGACAGATGCTGCAGGGTGGCTGCTGAAAAGCTCCTTTTATGTGCATGATGGTGGTCTTCTCGGCTACAGTACAAGTGCTTGTGCATCAAGTATAAAATACAAGCCTTTAATCACATAGATCAGCTTTTTAGCTTTTGTAAATTTAAAAACAAAAAGGATAAATAAGGCACTGTACTTTTAAAAACAAAAACTGCTCGGTTCCTAGTTTAAAACCCAAGGAACAACCAGAATATAATATATAACTTCCCTTACTCAGCCTCAGAGAAGGACTGGGCAAGTTCCCTTCTCCAAGACACATTTTCTGTCATCTCAAATTGTGGTGTTCTTCATTAATGGGAGATTTGAAAGGCTTGATAAGCTTATAAAAGCAGATTTAGTTAATGCAAAATAAAAGGTTACTTCTCTAGAATAGTTTTACTCTTGGCTTCCACCCCCCCAATCACTTTGCATCCAGCCGCCTCCGTTTGCTGTGGGAAGAGTCCGGCTTGGCCTTCGGCTTTCGCTTTCTCTGAGCCGTACTGTTCTCTGGATTTTTTGTCAAGGATCTGGCCCGAGTCTTTCCACTGCTCTGCTTCCTGTTCGTGGCCTTCTGGGGCCTTGAAGAAGATTCACCTGCCCCCTTTTGCTTGGTGGGTTTTGTCAGTGTTTCCAAGGTGGTGGGCTGGGTGGTAGGTCTTTTGTTTGTACTCTCTTTTTCTTTCCTGAAGGAAGGGTAGCTCTTCCCAGGGGACTTTTTAGGGATCTTCACTTTATTCTCTTTCAAAGACATCTTTTTGGGCAGTTGACTGATTTTGTCCCTTGCAGCGGGCTTCTTGGCAGAAGGGGTTTTGGTGGATCCATCAACATGCTTTTCTTTGCTGGCTTTCATTGCTGGTCCCTTGTCCTTGCTGTCCTGAGTGCTGCTGCCTTCTGTTCTCTTACGTTTATTCTGAACTTCTGCTTTAGGCAACATTTCACATGTCTGCTTCCCTTTCCTTCCCTTCATCCCTTCAGCACTCTTGGACTTAACAGGAAACCCATCTGCATCCACTTGCAGGGCAAGCTTGGGGGACATCAGAGGGTTGATGCATACACTCTTACGACTCTGCTTACTTTCCACAGCCAGACCAAGTGGGCTTTCTGTTTTCTCATTCTGGATCAAACGTTGCTGGGCTCTGAGCTTTCCTCGGATGTTGGAGTATTTCCTCAGGATCCGGGTACTGGCTGGCATAGGCAAGCTTGTGGGAGGATGGCTATTTCTGTCTTCCTTGACTTCTTCTATGCTGTCTTCAGAATTAGGGCTGAAGCTGACATCACTGCCATCCTCTGGCTCCACTTGGTCGGGATTCTCTCGAAATTTAGCCCAGAGCTTCTGTGTTTTCCAATTATTCCTAGCAGGAGTAGCTCCAGGAAATTTCTTTAAGTGCTTTTTTAAGCGTTCAGCCTGTAGTGAACTGGGATACAGGCTGGAAGGAGAGTACTTCTGAAGAGGATGCTTGACAGGGGGGATGTCTCCTGGAAGACGAGTGTTGAGCTTCTTCACAATTACCAGAGACCGGGTTTCAGTCGTCTCTAAGAACCATTTACAAACATTAGATAATTTAAAGTTTGTCATAAACAGCATCTGAACAGGAGAAAACTTTTGAACCTCCAACGAACCCCTGCATTTCCGTGACCTTTTCTTGCTTTTCCAAATCTCCTTCAGTTTATCTGACTTGTTCCTTGCTCTTGGTGTTGGCTGTACTTCTTTTTCCAATTGGATCCAGCCCTTCTGAACTTTCACGTACTGGGCGTTAAAGCTGGCGATAAGCTCCTGGTTCTCCTCCTCAGCACACCATTCCACAAACTTCGGCTGTTCATCTACCACTGTGTCTGCATCATCCTCATCTAAGGCATCCCCACTCTCTGAAGCTCCATTTTCCTTTGGTATTGGGTTGACCTGTGTGGCTTCTTTTTCTGAAGTCACTTTCGTAGTAGTATCCAAGGAGTCCGGACCATGAGCATGTCTTAGGTTATAGAAGGAAGAGGTCAATCTCTTTGGCCTTAATGCCAATTTTGGTGGCCCAGCGGCATCTCCACTCCCACTACTTGACAACCCAGCTGAGTTCGATGGAGTGTCACCACCATCACCTTCACACTGAGCATTTTCACTAGCAACCTCATCTACCACCTCCTCTGCATCCTGTGCAGGAGTATGTCCTGGCTTCTCTTTTGATTCTTCTGGGTCACTCCTACAAGGAATACTTTCGGAGGAAACATGACCATTTTTCTCACCTATCTTAGACTGAACATAGATTTCCAGTTTCTCTCCAGGCAGCAGCTGGCAAACTGTGGTTAACGGATCACTGCTGGGAATAATCTCTCCTTCTTCTCCCTTGACTTCTTTTGCCAGCATGTTTTTAAAAGTCTGCCTGGTGATGATCCCACCTCCTTTGCCCTCTAGCTCAGCATCCTTGTCAGAGGGGTGTTCATCAACATTTAGGTCTTCAGTGTCCTCCACAGCTTTTGTATGGAAGTTGTCCGTGGAAAAGTCCTCAGGTGTTGTCCTAGCTCAGCATCCTTGTCAGAGGGGTGTTCATCAACATTTAGGTTTTCAGTGTCCTCCACAGCTTTTGTATGGAAGTTGTCCGTGGAAAAGTCCTCAGGTGTTGTCCTACCAGAATACCCTTCTTTTTTAGAACGTTTTGCACCAGGATTTTTAGAAACTTTGATTTCAGGACAAGCAGAGGAAGAATCTGAACTTTGATTTCTTAGGCACCTATCAGCAGAGGAAGAATCTGAGAGTTGACTTCTTAGGCACCTATCAGAGGCCTCAGGGAACTTTTTACCTTTTTTCTTCTTGTCCAAATTCTCTTCGGATGAGTCGATGTTTGGATCACAAAAATCTTTTTCTAAAGAGCACTTTACATCACTGTCCTCTCCCTCTAATTTTCCTGTATCACCTGCTGCCTTACTCTCCTCAATTTTACTGGGGTTTTCATTAATAAAAGTGCTGCTTTCCATCAAGAGTGGGTTGGTATCTATCTCTTGTGTGTCTCCAGTCTCAGCCTCAGTACTGATGCTTTGGTTGTCCTCAGGCTGTCCCAGACTTGTGGGAGGTTCCAAGTCCATTGGGGGATTTTGAATTTTTGAGCACAGAGGACTTTCTTCCCTATTGACTGTTTCAGGAGGAGAATGGGGCCTAGAAATGACATCTTCACTGCCTCCCCCAGAAATGCTTTCAGTAAAGGGAACCGGGTGACAGTCTTGGGATACACTCATTTCCTCTGTATCCAGCAGTGCGACTGGTTGTTGGTCTTGTTCAGCAGAAGACATCCCATTTGCTGTGGGAGCTGATACAATGGAGCTGCCTTCTGGCATGCCCTCTCCAGGTAGGTGAGCAGGAAGAGGCCTCACCAGGCTGGAGGCTGTCATTTCTTTTGACGTAGGGGAGCTGCTTGGATTTGGTTTATTTATCATGGAGCAAATCTCAGGCTCTTGAGAGTCTTTTTCAGATGAAACATCTCCACCTCCTTCCTTAAGGGAGATTATTTCCTTACTAGGTTCCTCAGGGTTATCTTCTCTGGGAAGCTGCACATCTACTGTGTGTCTAGGGGCTGACATTGTAAGGACCTGCTTGGGAGCAACCACTGCCTCTGATGCCAGCACTGAGCAGCTTGCTTTTTCCTGGGAGTGTAAATTTCTGGCCAGTGTGCGTACAGTTGGCAGCTCACAACAATCACCATTGAAAAAGTATCCTCGAGTACTCTTTCTGGCTGTTTTCCGAGAAGATAATATTGATCTTTGATTCTCAAAGTGGCATTCTGTTATGGGTTGACTGATATAAACAACATCACACTGGTTATCATAATCATTTATCCTTAACCCCGATGCCCTTTTACTTTTCCGAGCTGTCTTAATGGAGGTTGTTATTGTCTTGTTTCTTGAGTGTCCATTAGATGCTTTGTGTACAGCTGGCATGGGGCTGGGGGCTAACCACACATCTTTGGAATGATCAAACTGACCCTTATCACTGGGATGTAAATGGTAACCCACTTTATTTCTTCCTAATGAGTGAAGATGGTTCTCTTGCTTTGGCCTTGCATCTTGTTCATTTGCCTCTAAATCCTGGTGCAAAGGTGTTTTTGAACTACACTGTAAAGCATTCTCTTTGTCAGCAGTTCTAGGCGAGCTCCCCATAAACCCTGAGTCCCAAGCTTCTTCTGGTAAAGCTTTGAATGAATTTCTCTGAGAAACAATACAGCTATTGCCCTCCTCATTATTCTCAGCTGCCACTTTTACTGCAATTAGACTTTCTACTAAAGCTGAGCTCTGCATATGGTCTTTACCATCCTCACATATTTTCGCATTTGTGTCTCGCTCCTGTCCAGTGGTTTGCTCCTCCAAGCTTTTAGAGATGTGGTGGAAGTTCAATGAGGAAGAATTAGATGCAGTGAGGTATCCCAGAGTGGAACTATCTATTGAACTGCCAGAATTAGGTTTAGTGGTTGGAAGTTCAGAGGAATCTTTCTGGACAACAGTCAAGGCATTCTCTCTTCCATCTACAGTGTTTGTCTCAGGAGGAGGCTCCTTTAGGGTCTGTTCTGTCAAGTGTGGAGGGCTGTGAGAGCCTGACGAGTCTAGGAACAAATCTACAGAAGTAGGAGACTTCATATCGAGACACAGAGCATCCTTTTCCTTATGCTTGGTGCTTAGCTGAGCACAGCCAGCATTGCAAGTGGACACATCCATTGCTCCAGAATAAGAAGGCTGCAAGTCCTCGGTGCCTGGCTGAGATTCAGTGTATAGGTCGTTCAGAACACGAATGAACTGCTTCTGATGATGAGTGCACAGTTTGACCATAAACTTCTCCAGCGGGGACTTCGACTGATTGTTAGAATCTACTGCTATTGCCTCTGTTGAGTTCTCACTAGACAGACAAAGAGAAAAACGGAATTAGTATAGTCATTTTCCAAAGAACCATGTTTACATTATGAAGTTCACCAGATGTTATTCATATTGCAAAGAGAATGGCCACTCTGGCCCAAACTGCTTCTAAGTCTGCCCATATAACTTTGATTCAATAAATAAGGAGTATTTATCTGATTAAAATATAAGGCCATCCTATTATATTCTCAATTTTTAGTGACAATATCCTTCATACTTCTTAAGTGATCATTCAGAAATCACTTTCATCTTATGGAGAAGAAATTTTGCAAATAATTTTTTGAAAAAAATAAAGTTTTGGCCACACTATTAACTCCAATTGGTCAACATATACTTTTCCTTTAGGCATTCCTGGGTATTCTTATTAATAATCATTGGCTTTTAAGTCCACAACACTGACAAAAATTCAGACACACTATATTACAAATTGGTTTAGAAGTATTTAGAGAACTTATAGTTTTAAGATGATTTCTCAGCAGCTGACTGGACTTTATAATACTGCTAACAGTGATTGAGGAATCCTTCTACTTCTTTCCTGGGGCATGGGAGAACAGAAATCAGTAATTTCACATTTTAGACACATTAAGAGGTAGAATGGCAAGCAAGTCCTGATTAGTAGCCTCTAAGTGAGAAAAGAGGTATGAAGCCACATTGTAAACTCTGTCAATGCAAGATATTAGTATATCTTCACACAAGTCCCACTTGTTACATTCTCATAGACCTTCACTAAACATTTCACAATCATCCACAGAAATCATTATACATTAAAGAGCCCCTTCCAATTATTTCTTTAAGCTACCCTGGATAGTGGGGGTAGAAGGAATGGATGATACTAGATCCAAGACAGGCTAAATGCAACGCCTGCTTAGGCGGCCAAAGGTTTTCACAAGCTGCTTTGTACTTCTGGATGTCTGAGTTTTACTGAGACCACGCAGTAGGAGTGCTCCAATTTCCTGAAGTTTCAACTCCTCAATCTCCCCCTCACCCCTACCCCCCGATTTTAATTCCACAGGAAACTATTATTTGACTATGTGAAACATGGCAGGGCACAGAGGGCAGCTTAATAAATATGTGAACAGATGTTAATTGATAATATCTTCTAGCTAATTATTTTCTTTAATCTTTGATTTTTATCTCCCAGTCATGAGACGCATTTGTAGGAAGGCTTACCCTAGACAGACTACATCACCCCTACCTTCCCACCCTCCACTGGCCTCTGAAGCAGTGTGGTTATAGTGGAAAGAACAGAGGTTGTGGAATATGAAAAAACCTAGATTCTATTTCTAGCTGTGACATTTACTATCTACAGCATCTTAGACAAATTACTTAATCTCTCAACCATGGTTTCCTCATCTGTTAGTTGGGACTAAGTATCAGTATCTCAAAGGATTGTTGTGGATTATCCATTAGATAACATACATAAAGCACAATGCACAAAAGAGTAGGTGCTTAGACAATTTTAGTCTCTCTGTTCCTGACTCAGGGAGATTTTTAAGAACAAGTGGTGAAAAAGTTGCTGAAACGTATAAATATAAAACAAACAAAAAAGAACAAAAAACGAACTAGTCAAATCTACTGCTTAACCTAAACTGCTTTATAAGAGAAAAGGTTACATTGTATTTTTATTTTCTCAGCTAGCAAGAAAGCAGTTTTACTCAGTGGAGCCATGAGTTTCTGAAAGGGCCTACCTTAGACCATGGATTGGAAAGACTAGAAATGTCCTAGAAAATGCCTACTTCAAACTTGACACTGATAACTGAACTGTGAATAGGAAAAAAGATTATTATGGAAGTATTACAAAGGGTGCATGGGTATGGTGAACTCTGCAGTACATGGTGGCAATAGGTCCAAAATGTACCAAAGGGAAGAAAAGACAAAAAGCAACTAGAAAGAACTCGTTAAGTGGTACACTCATGATATATGCACTTTTCTATCTGTACACTGTACTTCAGTAAAAAGTTTTAAAAAGGCAACATCTGGAAAGTCAACAGAAATAAGCTCCTCCTGCTGTGCAAGAATGACAAATATTATCTTTGGGACTGGGAAGACACCAGTGATACCCTTGAATGAGTGACTGTTACAATCATTTCCAATTTCTGGACTCAATGACATGTACCAGGGAGCTCAAGAAACGACTCATGCAGCTGCAGACTTCCCAGCTCACGGAGAAGGCAGGAGGAAGTGCCTGCTGAAGGACCCCTCCAGGAGGTACTTTGTGGCTGTCTATCAGATAGTGCCAACAGCACAATATGCGTTGCAGGATACAGTATATGTGGGATGGTGGGTAGTTCTGTCACTTATGAGTTGTGTGATCTTGCCCAAATCACTTAACCATTTTGGGTCCTAGCAGAGTACCTGCTCCATCTACCACTCAGAATTGCTGCAAGAGAATACCTACAAAGTTTATACAAACACCAATTATCACTATTGTCAGCCAGTCAAATTAAATGTGCTCCAATAAATTTAACTTGGAGACCAGGAATGTGCATTAATGCTTCCTTACAACCTAACAAAAGTGAATTTTCTAGATAAAGTTTACCCTTTATATACCATTTTAAAGCAAATATTTAAACATTTTAAATATTTCTGATGGAAGTCTTTAAAAGAATTACATAATCTCTGAACACAATTTATTCTTTTTTAATACTCAGGATCATTACCATGTGCAATCTTATCGAAGTTTGGCTATTATTTTTATTACACTAAACTAAAATATATTGATGGCTTTGGGGGTTATTGAATTAAGTAAATCTGACTCCCTAAATATAAAAAAGCCACAGTGGTTTTACTGAAATCTTTCTTCTTCAGCTTCCAAATAGCAGCTGATCTTAGCAGTTCTACTTTCATCTTTAGTACAGTACTTTTACTCACTACCTGAGAATCCACATCCCAAGTGCTAGAATGGTACTTTAAGTAAAAATAAGCAGGCTCTGAGTGAGGGCTTGAGGAACAGTTTTATGAGTAAGCATGTGCACTTTCTAACAACAACTTCAGCTGCTCACAGGCCTTTATTCCTCAGTTCCTGGTTCTTGGATGTGTCGTGATGTTTCCAAGGTAGGGGACTACAAATTAGTGGGATGTTACTGCCTTTTCAAGGAATCAGAGAACATATTCAAAATGAATTTTAGTAATACATGAAAAAGGCAAAAAAGGTTGACAAAAGTCTGCAGAAAAGATTAAGAAATATCATGTCATCTTATTGTAGAAAAAACTGAAGAGATAAATGGTTCTCCCCAATTCAAGAAGTGTAATTATTACAGAAGTCTTTGCAAAAATCTTTCAGATACTGCTTCATGCCTGTGGCTGTTCTGTGGAAGCAAGCTTTGGTGTTTGGGATTAACAATATGACTGGAGATGAATGAAATCAAGGCATGCACCCAATAAGATGAAAGTGTTCTGCAGGAAACTGAGGAAGCATTTTCCTCTAAAGTGATGCTCACATGGAATAAAAAACTGAAAGACTAATCCACAGGTGATATACAACTTCCTTTATGGTTGTGAGACCTGTATCTGCTGGGGTCCAACATGTCCCAATACTTTAATAGTACCTGAATATTTTTATTACCCTCAACTAACATAAGGTCTTCCAAAGGGCTATGCAACCAGCCTTGAAGAAATGTCCGTGGCAATATGGCTCAACAGACAACCATTGGTAGGTATGTATGTATTTCATAGCATCATGGCAAGGGGAGGTGGAGTCTTCACAACTAAGGCATACTAAAGAAACATTATTAAGACTCACTGAACTCTAAGCTGGAACAATGCAATACAACATTTGGATATTGAAAAACAGTAGTATCAGAGAGGCTGAAACAGGCTACACCAACCTTAAGAGGCATTTAGATTAGTGGTTTGGAGAAGCTCAGGAGATGAAAATATTAAAACTGCAAATGGCAACCTTGCTTGAGAGAAAATGACATCAACAAAACGCCATTTGCATGTTTTCCTGACAAAAAGAATCAGAGACAATGTACTGGTGAACCATGGGTCATCAGAGGCAAGTAGCAGGGTGCTCTCAATTCATTATTGGCCAGCTCAAAATGATCCCCTACTTGGATTGACTGCATCCTTTCCTGAAATTCTAAGTGGTCTGTAAGATTCATTGGCAATTATTTGGGGTCTTGTATATTTACCCTATAATTTTTACCTTTTACTGACCTGTCCTTTTTTTCCCTTAGCTTCCCAAGCAGATGTATGCTACTTGAATGTAGGCAGGGACCACATTTCATGTTTTCCTGCTTTCCCCTAGCAAAAAAGAGAGGAGGGAAAGGGGGCATCAAGAATGCTTCCTCGGTTTTCTTCTTGGTCAATACCATTTACTGCGACAGGAACAGAGGCAACAAAGCTGGAGGTTGTTAGGGTGTACATGTCTCTGGGTAAGTTCTGTTCTGTACATATCGAGTTAAGATATTTATAAGAATCTGAATCTTGAGTTGTCTGGTAGGCAACTGGACACATAGGCATGAGCTCACCAGTACCTTTTCTTGGATCTGAAAGCCTTCACATTAATACTAACCTTTGTCCAGGTGTCATTAAACGGCCCTGTTATAATAGCTAACTTTACAACTATAGTAATAAAATCACTTTTGGTCGTGC